CACAGCCCAGGCTCACCGTGATGAGTAAATCCTACTTTAACAGGAATTAATGCCCAACATTTCAGAACGCAGTTTCGAAATTCTTACAGATATCTATGCAAGCAGCAGTATTGCAGGACCTCTACAGATATAACATTAAAAATAAATCCAAAATGTATTCATTTTTGGTTGTAGTCTCCAGGCATAATGCACCCAGCTGCTCAGAGGCTCCAGCATCTGAAGATAAACAGGTGAAGCACATCAGCCATTATTGCCCCTCCTGCCTTGTGCTCCTGTTGATCCCAGGACACCTGGCAGATATATCTGAGGTGTTGCTAACAAGATGTACGCCCACCAAACGATCTCAGAGCGTGGCCAGACCCGTGCCTTGCAGGATGCATGGCCAAGTCCCTCCATTGATTTTTGTCCAAAGCACTGAGAAGCACAACTGTGTGCAGAGGCAGACCATGGCAGACACTGTTGCACTGGGATAGCGATGGAATTTGCAGTATTTACACTCATTTTGTTCCTTGAAAGCGCCAGTGAGAAGGAAATCCCGCGTATGAGCTGCCCAGCTACTGAATGCACAGCTTTTGAAAAATCAAAGCTTGCCCCCGCAGCCGGTCCTGCCTTTCCTCTTGCTTGTTATTTTATTTTATTTCAACCTATTCTGAAAAGACAAAAGCTGACTGCTTCTACGCTCCTTCTCCCTGCGTTCAGTGGGACCACCCTCCCCCTGTGACAGGTAAGCACACACCGCACAGGCAGCACCCCTGGGTGCTGCTGTTCCCTAAGCACCCAGGGGTGCAGAGCACCCTGTTCGGCACCAACCCAAAAAACTCCAGGGCAGCCATCACACACCTCAGGATGCCTTTTAACTTGCTTGCTCATGGCTTGGGGGTGGCTGTCCCCTCCTCGCAGGGGCTGGCAGGGGACAGACCTGCTGGCTGTCCTCGAGCTCGCTTCTCTACTTAAGCACAGGGGAGATGACATCCCGGCTGTGATCCCAGGACCTCGCTGCCTTTCCCACTCACCCCAGCATTTTTTTTGAAGGAGCCCGCAGACGGGCCAGAGGGTGGGAAAGGGGAAGGCTGGAGGGATGAGGCGGGTGCCTTCACATGGCACAGCAGGAACAGCCGCATTCCAGCTGTGACGGGAATCCCTTGGGATCACAGCAAGGCAAGTCCCAGGGCACCAGCAGTGCAGGGCCTGGCTAACGAACATCATATAGTGCGTTAACCCCTATATCCATCTGTGGTTACCCCTGGGCAGGAGTAAAGCGATCTCCACCTGCTGCCACAGACTGTGCTTCAGGATGACTTTTCTCCCGAGTGACGGCAGTCTGGGTGAGGATTCATCCTGCTTTAACTTCCATTAGCTCCATCCTATTAGCTGATCCCCAGTGCTGCTGAGAGATGTGCCCTGGGTTTCTGCCTGACCTCTGAGCATCACCAAGGGGCTTGGCCTGGGGCGAGTGGGCAGCTGGCTGAGCCGCGATGGGCTGTTCAGGACAGCCTGACCCCGTGCCAAATGATTTTCAGCAAAATAATGAAAAAGAAAAAATAATTAAAAATTGCTGTTCCCTCAGCCGGCGACGAGGCAATGCCAGCTCTGTCCTCAGCCTCTTGCACAAAGGGGAAAGCAGCTGGATTGCCGACCCAGGAGGATTTGGGAGGGAGCTGAGGAGGCCAGGGCAGGACAAGCAGTGGGCAGGCAATATCTGGCACTGCCCGCAGCACCAGCTGGAACGCCCAAACCGAGCAGGCAGGGCAGGGCAGGAGCCGCAAAGCAGCCCGGTGCTTCAGCCGCCCTCGGAGCAGAGTGTGGGACGAGGAAGGTTTGCTGACTGTAGCCGACCATCGTCCCCAACTGCCACTGCTCTCCTCCCCATCTCCGCGGGGCAGATGACAGGCAGGGCGTCCATCGGCACTGCCACGCTGCCGGCAGCCCCCTGCCCACGCACCCCCGGAGCTCCGGCACGTGCCTGGGATTCCTACGGTGCAACTGGCCAAGGCAGCTTCCAGCACTTGGGCTTGTTTTCCTCAGGATTTCTATCCCTAAAGAGCCTTTTATGGTGCAAAAGAGTGAAATCTGGTCTGGTCCTGACATTTTGCCCCCAGGCAGCGGAAAGCTGGATATGACGGTGGTTTATCTCTGCAAGGGGCTCCCCCGAGTGCCAGAAGCAAATGAAACATCCATATACAACAGCGCAGGTATGCAGAGGGAGTCGGGCACCTGCACAGTATGGCTGCTGCATGCTGCTAATTAGTTCCTAGCAATAATCTTACATACACATATGTCACATCTTCCCCCAAAAAGGGCATGTGTAGCCTCAAAGCCATTTCTTTGGGTAAGGTACACACTGCCATCCAAGCAGAAATACAAATGCTCCAGCTGGAAAACTCCACCTCGCAGTTACAAGCCAGGGCAATGCTAATGATAGTACAGCCCTTTCATAAACCAAAATAATCGATTTTCACAATCTGTCTGGAATTACCCTCTGTCCTGGGTGTGGAAACTGAGGCAAGGTTCAAGGCCAAAGAGAAAGTTGGGGGCAGAGTTGGAATTTAACCTAAGGACCCTCTCGAGGCAAAATTACCTATATTTACTCTTCACCCCAAAGCTGAGCTGAAAGGAGGAGGAAAGAGAGCGTGAGTCAGATTTTCAAAAGGCAGCAGGTAGAGAGTGTCTCTGCCCAGAGCAACACGCGCCAGGAGTAAATGCTGATGGAAACGGTGAGTTATAGTTTACAGGACGGAGGAGCCCGAATTCTCCTCCTTGCAGCGGGTCCGGCTCAGCCGCAGGGATGGGGCCAGGGGCACCGTGCTGCCGGGGAATGTGGCGTTCTCTTCCCCGGCCGCAACAGCCGCACTACCGCAGGGTCTGTGAGGGGAAGACTCCCTGGAGGAAACCGGCTTTAACATCTTATTTCCTCCAGCTCTGAGGTTTCCTTAATAGGAAATTATTCCCAAGCCGCGCTGGGGAGGGATGCAGTCCCCCGTCAGGGCAGCGGGCGCATTCCAGCCCCTGATGGAAAACACTGCAGAACCGCTTTTGATCCAAAGTGTAAATAGTGTATAATAAAAAGAAGCTTGTGTAAACCGGCCAAGCTCTCGGGGAGCAGCTTTTGCAGCTCCAGTCTCCTTATTTACAGGCACCCAGCGCCACGGCCGCACGCTTTCCCCGGGCATGGTGAAGCCGGTGTCAGGCTGAGCCTGCTGTGCCGGGAGGCTCCGGTGGGCCCCATGCCGCCCCAGACTGTTATTTTTATCCCAGCCGGCCCTGCACGGAGTTTCGCTTGCAATCCCGCCGGTTTTCCTCTGCCGGTCTCCGAGGCAACTGGGTTTTGCTAAAAAACAAATCACACTCCCCGCAAAACTTTGGAGGAGAAACAGACGCCGGGAGAGCAAAGCCGGGGTTTCTCAGAAGGGAGGTTTGGGGCTTGGGAACAGGCGCCCTCCCCGCTGCCGTTATTTCCCAACACCGCTTGGAAATGAAGTAACTTTGATAATTAAACTGCACTAAAAACGAGCAAAGCAGGACAGCCCTGGAGTCCCAGCCACTGCCCAGCAGCTAAGCAAAGCGAGGTTTCAACGGAGAGGCAAGGTGAAACCCCCAGATCTGTCACAACCATGTTTTTCCTGGAGGAAGAGGAGAGGAGCGAAGGCTCCGACCCTGCCTGGCAACCTCTGGTCTCTGCCAGGCATCTCCGGGACCGGCAGGAACGCTGTGGGAGGAGGAGCGCGGTGCCGGCACAGCTCGGGTGCAGGCAGGGACATGAGCAGAAGGTGGTTTTACCCCTGCCCTTCCTGGGCAGATCCCAAAGCCCCTCTTATCTCCTCCCTCCTCCACCCCGGGAGGGATGATGGAGCAATTAGCACTTTCCTCTCCGCTAATTTCTGACGCAGCTAATTCTGAGCGGAGCCCACCTGTCTGGTCCCAACACACCAGGCGGTGTTGGGGTCATGCAATGCCCGGCAGTGCCCGTGTGTCTGCCAGCAGAAGAGACACCAGTGCAACGAGAGACTGCCATGTGCTTGCAGCAGCCCCTCGCACGCCCCCGTGGCACGCATCCCCCGGCACGCTGCCGCTCGCTCCCCGCTGTCTGCCACAGCCCCCTTCCCACCCTGGGGACCAGCTGGGACAGGACTGGGAGGACCAAAGTGGGCAAACCCAGCTCAACCCTCCCCAGTTCCTCCTTTCCCGGCAGCCTAAAGCATCGCGGGCTGCAGGATGTGGCTGTGTGCCGTGGGATCAGGCTTAGCCATCCCACGTGGGCTCAGCCACCCACCGTGGCTCCAGCTGCCATCTCCCTCATGGCAGAAACGCTCGCTCAAAACCTGGCCAAGGGCAGCTGGGTCCTTGGGGGGAGACGGGGCCCCCCAAGGCAACACTCTCCTCAGCTTGGTACCCACTGTAGGTTCTGCCTCCCAGCCCGCAGCATCCCAGCACAGCAGTGTTGTTCCAGAGAGCCCATGACACTGAGCCACTAAAATTAAGCAACAGCCCTAATGCGTCCCATAAATTCCTCACAGAGCCACACTGGAGTCTCCAGGGTTGAGCGGTACTCTGCTGCAGACCCAATTCATCTGGGACACGTCCCGCTGGCTGCTCACGAGCCTGTTGGATTTACCATAGCCAAATCCCACTATTTCTCACCCTGCCCTGTTAAGGACATCCAGCAGCCTGGCACTGCACCAGGGTGCTCCCCATCCCACTGGCTCATGCTCCCCATCCCGTTGAGTACCGGGACTGGCACCAGACCCTGCTGTCCAGGGAGGGGGGCAAGAAAGAAGACGAGTCCTGAACAACCCCGAGCTGCCACGAGGGCCTTCAGCTCTCCATCCAATGATCCACCAGCATTTAGTACAAAGAATTAAATAGAAATTGTGAAGAGCTGTGTTTGACCCCAGTGCTGGTGCACAGCGAGGAGGAACGCAGCACTGCTCCAGAGGGACACATGGGATGGGGACCACCACCACCACCATGGGGACCTGTGCATTGAAGCCCTGACTGCCTACCTGGATGCCGCGATCTCTGACTTCTGCCGGGCGATGGCTGCAGCCCTCTGAGCCCCCTCCACGCTCCTGTCCACCTTCTGCCGGATCTTGGCGCTCTTGAGAGGTATCACGCGCTTCTTCATGCCCTTGACAAGGACGTTGTGGCGGTACTTGCCCTCCTCCTTCTTGCCGTCGGGCAGCGTGGTGCAGCCATAGCCGTGCCGCAGGTTGTCCAGCCACTCGCCCTCATACTTCAGCCCACTGGAGCGCTCGCTGACTCCAAAGCCGGCGCGCTTATCATTCTTCCACTCGCCCATGTAGATCTCGGTGGTGGTGGCATCGATGTCAGACTCAAAGGGGGGGTACTCTTCGCCCTCGGCGCCCTCGCCCAGGCTGACGGTGGAGGTGGCGTCGCTGGCGGCCGAGCTGATCCCGCTCTCGCTCTTGAGGAAGCTGACGCGGCTCTTCTGGCTGGCCAGGGACGACTTGGACTCGGACTTCTTCAGCTTCCCCAGCAAGGAGCCCCTGCGGAAGAGCCCCCCCTTCTTGGGCTTGCCGGCCTCCGCCTCCGTTGCTGTGCTCGCTGCGCAGGGAGGAGAGGGAGGTGCGCAGCGGGGAGCGGACCACGGAGGCCATGCCGTAGGGCACGCTCTGCCGCACCCCGTAGCCGTGCCGCATGCCGTTGGTGAACTGGCCCTGGTATGTGCCTGCAGGAGAGAAGAGGGACGGGATGAAAAGGCAGCTTGTCCCTGGGCGAGCCAGAAAAGGAAGGTGGGCTGCGGGGCAGCGCTGCCCTACAGCAGATGTACCCACCTTCCCTTGAAGAAAGGAGCCCCAACTCTAGTGCTCACCCACGTGCAAAAGCAGCCGTCCCCAGGGACTGGAGGGCAGAGGGGACATGCCCGAGAGCCACTGCTGGCAGGTGACAGCTCACTGGAAAGGAGCTGAGGCACCAGGGGACACTGGTGCAAACCCAAAGCCACCTAACGGAGGGGGTCTGGGTTTGCATGCAGAGCAGGAGGCAGCCCCCCGGGGCTGGAGTTCGGGCTGTGCGAAGGGCAGCAACAGTCCCAGCGGACATGCGAGCAGCGGTGGCACAGCTCTCCCTGGCTCGGTGACAGTTCCTTTCAGCCCATTTTGTGGTTTGTCACTCACAGGCTGCCAGGACCGGCTCTAGACCCCCGAGATGGGCGCCTGGCCGTGGCACAGGCTGCCCCTGTACCCGCAGCCGCATCTGCTTGGCCCTCACGTACAGCTTCTCCGTGGTCCCAAGACCACGTGGCTTGTGCCACGCTGCACAAAGCAAGAGATGGGTGAAAAAGGGAGGTGAGGAGCAGAGCAGCTCTGTGTGGGGTTCCTCCAGCTCTGCCCCAAAACCCACCACCCTACAACGCTCCTCCAGACCCAGCTCAAGAGGGCACACCATGTCATATGATGGGGGGACACAGAGAGGACTGTGCTTACCATGGCAGGGCTGCACCCCGGGTATGAGACCCTGCTAAAAGCCAGCAGGACCTTGGCAGTGACACCTTGAAGGACTGGGAAAAGCACGCTGCTCCTCTCCAGGCTCCTTCCAGGTCTGCACCTTTCCAGGCTCCAGAAGAGTGAACTGGAGACCACCGCTCTGATTTTTCTCATCTCAGGATGTCAAGAGACTTAAAGTAGAAGCATCAAAGCCCCCTACATGGGGGTTTCAGGTCCTAGAAGGGCAGGAGGGCTGATGGTACACCCTTCGCCTACAGCACCCACACTCACACGCCAGCACGGAGGGCTGCGAGGGTCAGCGCACCCCCGCTGATCCCTGTGGGGTGGGATGGGACTGGATGAGATGAGCCATCTCCCCAGCTTGGCTGTCCTCGCTCTGTAGATACAGTTGCCTCAGAAACGGGCAAACCGCCCAAAACAAAAGCAGCATTCAGCTCTGCTCCTGGCGTTACAGGACCTGGAACAGCCCACCTCATCCCAAACCAGCATCCTGCAGGGCAGAGGCTGCCGGCAGCCCCCCAGCCCGGGGCTCGGGCAGAGGGTGCTGGGGGAGCACCAACGCCCTTGGAAAGGCCACCCCACTCCTTTATTCTCCTGGGTCCTGCTTCATGCAAGCAAAGGGTGAGCCGTGCTGGGGGCATCTTCACAGGCATCTGTCCTAAACCTGGTTTTCATTAAGCAGTGACCTACAAGGAGGCACCAAATTTGGGGAGAAAGAGCATTCCTAGGGTCTTGGGGAGTCTCAGCAGGGCCAGGCTGAGACGGAAGGGGGTGACCTGTCTTCAAGGCATTCATCTCCCCCCTCAGAGGCTGTCACTGAGACCAGGGATGACGCTGCTCCCCAGGGAGCAAATCCAGTTCCTTCTTTGGCCATTGTGGGAGTGCATATTTTACAGTCTCCCAGGCCACTTCTGCAGCATAATCTCTCCTCCCAAGCTTCAGGTTTCGTTGAAATCCTCTTTGGACCCGCCTGTGGGGTGTTAACTTACAGCGCTGGGGGCCAGGAAAGACAAGAAGTGCCCGAGCGGGCAGCAGCTGCCGCCCCGGGGTGAGCTGCCCCCCGCCAGCCCCTGCCCACCCTGCGGCACACGGGATTTCGGGCTCCCTGCAGCAGTTGGCCTCCCCTACTGAAAAAAGCGGGGGTTCAGGTAGGGCAGAGCATCTGCGGGCTGTGGCCAGGCACGGGGAGCAGTTTGCCGGGACAAAGGGCCATTGCCCAGTTTCTTGGCAGAGCCTGAAGCTCCATTCGGAAAAATATGGGGGGCAGCGTGGGTTAGGGGTTTGGGCATGAGCTGGGAGCCAAGGACCATCGTTGGAGATGTCCAGGTGTCTGAGTAAGCTCCTCACCCTGCTGTGCTCCCAAATCCCTCTCCATAAAACGGTGGCAAGCCTTCCTAGCAAAAAATGAAGTTATGGAGATGCTCCCATATCCCTCCCCACTGAGAGCTGGTGAAGTGGGTGCTCCATCGCCGCCTGCCTGGCCAGTGAGCAGGGCTGACACACGATCGGGGTGACATTGGAGACCTCCTAGGACAGGACAGCCTTGCACATAGCAGGCAGCAGGCTGCAGCTGGTAGTGCCACCGTGTTAACCCCATGGAAGAGGAACTCTGGAAAAGTCTCACAGGTTTAGGGGGGCTCAGCCATTCCTCGGGGAGCAGATCAGAGCAGCTGCTGCCCTCCAGCAAGTCCCAAGCCCTCTCCATCCCCCTGAGCAGCAGCAGGGCCACCTGCATAGGAAAAGCCACATGGCACAGTGGGTCTTCAGGGAGCAGAGATTGGGGCGCCACTTCTCGAGGCCACACATGCCTACCCTTAACGTCAAGTTTCACACCAGCTCTTTCGCCCGGTCTCAGCTGCCTGATTTCAGCCCATACTGCATAAGCATCATCCCTCTGGCACGTGCTGTGACCAAACCTGTCAACCACATCTGGCTTAATGGAGGGTACCGACACACCGCGGCTGCCCAATGACCGCAGCGGTGAGCGGGCACCACCATGTCCCTGCCACGCCATGATTCAGTGCCCGGCTGAGGCTCTGCGCCAGGACAGAGCCATGAACCACCCCTGGAGCGGAGCCAGAGGCTGCTGAGAGCAGCTGGAGGCGCCGATGGCCATGCGTCGGGGAACGCCAGGTTTGAGTGGAGCCAAGCCCTGGACCAACACGTCCCAGTGCAGCCAGTTCAAGAGAGAAAAGGGGCTGTAGAAACCCCCTCTGCACCGTGGGGTCAGCTCAGCAGGGCTGCACATCCCTGAGCCATTGCTACTCCCCAAATATCAAAGCAGCCTGGCCAAGGGGGGACAGCCAGGACACAAAGCGGCCAGCCAGGCAGCCACGCACTCACACGCATCTGACATTCTGGAAAAAAATACTAAAGATGCAGTGGACGTGGAAAAAAAAAAAAAAAAGAATCTCTATTTAGGATGAAAATGAGATAAGCCCCACTTCCCTGCCTCCCCAGCCCCACCTGAATCACTAGGGCGGTGGGACAGAGCCACCTAACCCCATCAGGGTGCCATTACTGGGGGACAGGACCCCAATAATCCTTTATTGCCTGCATTTTTTCTTGTCATAATGACAAAAGCCACTGGTTCCTCTGTGACCCCCAGGTACGCAGTTCATCACCTCTGCCCATCCCCGACCAAAGCGGGGCGGTGGCCCTGCCTGAGTATCTTCATAGAATGGGACGGATCAAATTGTGAGATTGATAAAAAGGGTAACTCTGCAGCCTTCACCTCCAAACACACCGCCGGGGCGGCAGCACCCTCCAGTTCACCCTGGCAGCAGGACAGAGAGGTGCCCAGCTGCATCAAAGGCAAAAGCTTCAGCTCCTGGTGCACGCCCGGCCCGGCAGCGAGAGCCTGCTGTCAGCAGCATCACATCTCCCCTTCCCAGCCCGCCTGACAGCTCTAGTATAATTAGTGATGAATGTAAATAATACAAACAACCAGGTAAATAATGCAAACAAATTATATCACTGCCCTATGATCCTCTGCTGTTACCCAGATACTGTGCTGACAGACGTGTTAGAAGAACTCAGTGTAAAAGGCCAGGGACATTAAATCAATGCACTGCGTCACGTGCGAGACAGAGCAGCAACAACCTAGTGCTTTTTTTTGGTGCCAACAGTACTATCTGATGGTTTCTGTTGGAAAAGAAAGGGGGGGGACACACAACCCAAAGAGAGGGGGAAAAAAATTCACAGCGTTAATTCATGGGTCAAATTCAGCCACGCAGGAGCTTTGCTACAGAGGCAGCAGACACAAGCCAGCACCATCTCGGCTCACCCAGAGCCCCTTCCTGCTCCCCCAGCCACAGTCCCACGGGTGCTGCTCCTTCTGCCCCAGCCCAGGCCCCTTCCCACTGCGCCTTCCCTGCCCCAGGCACCTGAGGAGCCAGCGCTCCTCCCCATCACCCCATTTCATCTGTCCCAGTAAACCACACTTCTGCATTTCTTTTCCCCTTTCTTGTGGTCTGGTGATCACTGAATGGTCTAATCATTTCCGCACACGGTTAATCGACATTGCTGTTTTCTCTTAGCTCCCTAGAGACCAAATTGCAGCGTCAAAAATAAGTTGGTTTTAGGCTGCTTCAGTTGCAAGTGAGTTTCTCCCCCCCCATATAGATACGTAAACAGTTATTTGTATAGCAAAGCCTGGCTTTGGCCAGATCCTGCATACGCACTACCATTCTGCAGTAGCCGTGAGATTGTTTATTTTGCAGTGAGACTTGACTGGGTCAAGTACTTGGAGTCAAAAGCACACAAGCATCCAAAAAAACGAGGCCTTCCTTACAGCGGAGACAAACCTTACAGGTGGAAGCCAAATAACTCAGTGTTTACTCATAGCTTCGGTTGCAAACGGATGGGTTACTTCGTGCCGTGCCTTCCACAGCCCAAATCACCGTCTGCTTTAGCTCGCGCATCCTGCCCCGATAAAGGGCTCCGAGCTCTTTGCGGGTGACGGCGGCAGACACACACGTATATTCAGTGTGGATATGCAAGGAAATATATCATAGTGTTTCTGTCTCTGCCCGGTCACAGCAGGAGCTCTGAACCCCTTGGCTGATTTCAGGCAATGCTACAGAAGGCGAGCTAGTTAAGCCATCAGTCTCCCGCAGTTTTCACAAAAACGGGCACTTGGTAGCTGAGAGAAAAAGCAAACCACTCACATGGTGCCTGGGCTAAACCATACCATGGGTCCACTTCTTATTAGACCCTAAAATCTATACATGATTTCCAAAAGCTTCACTGCAGATTTGGGCTTTATTTAGCCACCAATCTCAGCCAGCCACAAGATAAAATATACTTACAGGATTGTCTGTCATTTGTAAGTGTATTTTAAAGTATAAAGTTTTCAAGTGTGTGTGCATATATATAAAAAAAAAATTTATAAAAAGTTAATTTAAAGTTTATTTTAAAACATTACAATCAGCTACATCTCCCTGAAATCCACAGGCAGCCCAACCATGACCTGAAGCTTCTAACGACCTGGCAAGAGCTGTGCGTTCCCAGAGCCCTCTTCTTCGCGTGGCCGGCTTCCAGGGGGCTTGGGAATCACGTCCCCTACTTGAGGGATGGCAGATTTCCAAAGCCCTTCCAGATGTTTATCTTGGCAACCTCAAATTCAAATATTAACAGGTCCAATTAGCAGCCTGGTCACATCTGGATCTTGCAGACGGTTACCGTGTACAGGTGAGGAGACAAAACAGGAGTGGGACCTGCAAGTCCTACAGATGTGACATTGGCTGGTGATTCCCACTTTGGCTTTGGACACAGCTTTCTACACATCCCTCCAACACCAGAGAATCTCACGTGTTGGATGAACAGCTCAGACCAGGCAGGATGTGATGGCCCAAGGCAAGGAGGGACGCTGGACACCAGCCCTCGTGAGCTGGGTCTGGCCGGGTCTCGGGGGGCTCAGCTCAGCGCTGCCCAGGGTGGCTTTGGCAGGGCACATCTTCACTGGTCAAGGCTAAACTGCCAGCCTCGGGCAGCACCAGGGATCACGCAGACGGCACATTCTTGGGTGTGGGACAACGCCCCGGGGAGCACTATGCTGACAGAAGCAATATATTATATATCCTTACAGGAGAAAATCTTGACTCATCTTTCCCCCTCTTCTGTCCCAAGTTTTCAGTCCAAGATCTAATCAAATTCAAACTCCTGCATCAAATTTTGCCTCTCAAAACTCTCCTCCACAACATTAACTTGAACGTCGGTAGCCCTGCACCCTTTCTAAGGTGCATTTTTAGGAATCAGCGAGGAAGTGGCCAAGCAAATTCATAGGAGACCTTGACATCTCCAGAATGAAAGTCCCAACGACAGCCACTGCTGACAGTTATCTGAACACTGCTCATTATCCATCAGAGCACACCTCACACGGAACCTACACATCTTATGGCCACACGTGAAGGTACTGCAATGCACGAGTACACACGTATGCGGTCGCCTGAACTCTTGCTGCCGCTGTGCAACCTGCACATCTCAGCGTTTAACTGTTCCACGGGCAGAGCGGGGAGAAAACTTAGGGACCTGGAAGGATGTATCAGTTCAGAGGGCACAATAAAAATCAGTCAACTTCAAGACTACATTCCCAGGCTTAAAGTTAGCCATGTGCCCAGGCAACTCATTGAGAAATGTCTATGTAAAAGCATAACCCCGACAGCCGGTCTTGAATGAGTCCATTTTTCTAATCTCTGTAAATCCGATGCTTTTCATTCTGAAGATTTGTACCGTTACCATTATTTTTCTTTACAAACGAACTCCATTGCCTGTCCTAGATAAATATAGATGCAATTCTGATCCATATTTTGAAGGGTATTTCTTTCAAATCACCCTCTCTATTTAGCTATCCTAAATATGGCAGCCTGGAACATTACAGTACCAAAGAGCTACAGAATTACTTGCACAGAGATTCTTGCAATGTTTCTAACCCCAAAATTGCCGATAATGCAAGAACACAATTAGACTGAGCATTTACAGAGCACAACGAACATCTGACTACACGGTGCATTTGTGTACTAGCAGGGGTCGAGAGCTTCCAAGTAATTGAAGGGATTTATTTTAGGGAAAGGCGTGTGACTACGTATTTGAAACAGCTTAGATGAACTCAACCAAAATGGTTCAGCAAAGCAGATGTCCAGGCAGCCCGTCAGAGGCACGCAAACAGTGTTTAATGCACAGGCACAGAGCCCTACGATGCCATGGGCAGCTTATATCTGATGTGAAAACATTCACAACTGGCTGCCCAGTGAGCGAGCAAATGGCTCGCTGCGGTCGCACACCAGCGAGGAGTTTCTGATTGGGTTCGACAATGAACCACAATAACCAGTCCCTGGGGAACCAGGAGTCAACAGACTACACAGATCAAGTTGGTTGGTGTTAACTATTGATACAGGCACTCCAGAGCAGCTCCCGAGGGAGGGATGGTGGGGGCAATGCTCCGGCTGCTCCTCCCTCGTGTCCACAGACAGTGAGCTGCACACGCTGCGCCCGACAGCAGGGATCAGGGCATGCACACGCATTTACAAGGCGGCTGCGCCACGAGTCCCGCTTCTTGACTGAAGCGCCCCAATGGCTCATTGCAGACCACTGTCCCCGTCTGGATCTCACTAGTGGGGATAGGATCAGGTCACCCCTTCAGCAGGGACAACACACAGCCTTTGCCATCGCGGGCTGGGCATCATGCTGTTCATCACCCTCCCAGCCCCTCCGGAGTCCCCCTTACCTCCATCAGCGTATGTCTCGGTGCCATAGCCATCCTGCAGGCCATTATTCCAGGTACCTTCATACTTGGCTCCGCTGCTCATGCTCTGCCTCGCGCCATACCGTCCCTTAAAGCCATGGGTCCACTCGCCTCTGTAAACCCACCGTCCTTTGGTCTCGATTCCTAGGCCGTGCCTCTTGCCTTGGGACCAGTAGCCTTCGTAGGTGTTGCCACTGGGCCACGTGTATATGCCCACCACTTCGAAGCCGTAGTTCCAGGAGCCCGAGTACTCGCCCTGGCCCTTGGGGCCGGTGCAGATGCCATGCCCGTGGGCTTTGCCCCCTTCCCAGCCCCCGCAATAGGCACCTCCATCATCGAAATCAAACCTGCCGCCGCTCATGGTACCCTCCGGTGCCCCCTCAGCCGGGCAGCTCTCCCAGGGCCAGAGCTCCGGGGCGCGG